GCCAGAGCTGGGAGCAGGATGGCAAGCATAGCAGAAGAGCTTTGGGCTGGATCCTACACAACGGTCCCTAGGCTTTCATGGAGAACCTCTTCATTACTTCTAAGTGCCCTTTGCTTGTAATTGGAATTAAGACCTGTTTGACTAATGACTTTTGCAGATAATCCCAAAGCCTCCATGTCACCTTAATGAGCCCATTCTGAGGAGCCGTTAATGCTGGGAAGGAAGCCATGTGAAATGATGTGCCACTTGTAATTTGTCACCCCCTCTCCCCCCCAGATATATTCTGGCCCCCCTGAGGACAACGCTGCTCCACCGGTGCCTCCTCCCCGGGTGGCCACGCGACGGCACAAGCCCATCACCATCTCCAAGCGCCCACTCCGAGAGAGACCCATCTTCTTTGGAGGCTCTGTGGAGGACCACGCAGGTGAGTGGAGCTGAGCCTGCCGACTTCCTCCCGAGCCACTTTCCAGCCTCCCGGGTGGGTTGCACCAGATCTGGGTGGAGTGGATTAGTCCTCCGAGAGACGGGCAAGCGAGGGGAGGAGGCAGCAAATGTGTCTTCTTCCCAGCTTCAGCTTTGTTCATTTGGGATGAAAAGGAAGGCCAACAGGAATTGACCCAAAGGGATGGAGATACACACCACAAGAAAGGGAATGCATTTTGCACCTTGATGGGCTCTTGACGGAGGTTCCCTTGCCGCTGAGCGATGGGCCGGCAGTTTATCCCGTCTGCGGGCACAAACTGTGGGAAGGACCATGCTATACAGTTGGTAGCCATTGGTTGGCTTTCCATCCTAGTTCTCTGGAACATGGACCCGAGAGGCCCATTTTACTCTGAATTAAACCCAGAGTCACATAAAATCCAGAATCTGGACGTGCGTGCAAGTGCACACGCCCACAGTGACATTTTCAATGACCACGTCATCACAGTTGTAGGTGGTTTTAAAAAGAGAAAAGAAAAGGTTCAGACTTTGGACCGAAGGCTGGGGACTTAGACCCTGCCTAGGGCCATTCCGAGGCACAGCTCTGGATTTTTCATCGATTGCTACAGTCGTTATTTCTCTCTTTCTTTTAGCGGAGAGCAACTGCGTCCTTACCCCTAACGGCGCGGTCATCGCAAACTACACGGAAGCGCCCAAGCCTGTCCAACGCAGCTGGGCGCCTCCGCCCCGGCCGGCAGCAGAACCAGACCCTGGGAAGCCCAGTGGAGAAGGCAAACTGGAATCGTGCCCGGAGCTGGACGTGGGAAAGCTGGTGTCCCGACTCCAAGATGGCGGAACGAAACTGACCGCCAAAGCTGCAAATGGGGTGGCGGCGCCCGTTCCTGGCTCTCTGAAGGCCTTCGGTCTCCAGACGAAGAGGCCGGCTCCCAGGCCTGGGATTGGCTGCAAGGAGGGTGAGTCTCTCTGGCCCCGGGGGGCATTGGGCAAAATATCAATCAGACAAGGGCCTCTGATTGCATCTAATCAAAGAGTATTTCATGTCCATGGCTTTCTTCATCCTACGGGTACAGTGTGCATTATAATTTTGGGTCAAGGTATATGCACCTCACCATCTGAAGCGGGGTGACATCGGGGAAGAGAAGTGGGTGCCAACTTCATCGATGCTTTCAGGACTGAAACCATCATCAGCCCTGGGAAGCTCATACGAGTTTGCAGCCACCGTTTTGCCCATTAGCAGCGTTTTCCTGCATCTTGTAGGGGACTGCCAGGTTCCGCCTCCATTTTCAACCAGCTCTCCATTCTGGCCAAACAGTTACATAGTGTATTCTCGAAGGCTTTCACTGCCGGGATCCAATAGTTGTTGTAGGTTTTTCGGGCTGTTTGGCCACGTTCTGGAGGTTTTTCTTCCTAACGTTTCTCCAGTCTCTGTGGCCATGGGCCTCTTCAGAGGACAGGAGTCAGAATTCTGTCTGTATTCTGGTGTAGTGTGTGGGATAGTTGAGTATTTGCAGCTGTGGGATCAGCTTTTTGTCCTTTTCAGGAGATTGGGTGATGATGGTAATCAGAGTTTGTTTTTTGTTATGGGTCTATTGTTGTGATTGGGGGGGGGGAGAGGCTGGCTCTCTTGTAGCCTCGCACAGCGGTTCAGGACAGCCAGTTCTGCTGTGTATGTTGCTGAAAAGATCCCCCCCCCCAATCCATCAATGCATGCAAAGCTTTGATATATGGCTTTGATATATGTTACTCTGTCATTCGGGCTGGGAAGAAAGCCTCATGTTCCGGATGCCAGTGCCTTTATTTTTGCAAGAGCACATCATGAGGTGGAAGGGCAATCCCTCTGGGCATCTTCCTTCAAGTGTCTGCTGCTGGGGCTCGGGCTCAGCTGCCCTTGCTTCTCTCTTTTCAAGGGAAAAGCCATGGCCGACTAAGGGAGCACATCCTTTGCATGTGAGGAAGAAGCTTGGGATTTCAAGGATTCCCCCACCCCACCCCTGCTAGAGCTGCCAGAAGTCAGCAGGGATTCCCCAAGCTAGAATTCTAGCAGCATTAGTAGTATTAGCCAAAAAAATAAAAATAAATCCAAATTCTCAGTTTCTAAATACACACCTGTTTTTTGCCAGTGGCAGCGATGGCCCATAAGCATGGCGAAGGATGTGGGATGTGGGTGGAGCTTTCTAAGCTCCATGGGAGATACAAAGCATTTGGGGACTGGGATTTTTATTTATTTAATGTTTCTGAGAGGCACCCTCTACACAGAACCTAATGAACAGAGAGATTGGTCTTCCAAAACTGCTTTGAAATGTCTCCATGAAACTGCTGGAGGGAATCCTCAGACTGGGTCCCATCACTCTGCTGATGACATTGAACTCTGGTTCTCCTTTAGTCTATCTCTTTTTGATGATAGTTGCAAGGAGCACGCAACACCCTTGCTAGAACAGCTGCACTGGCTACCAGTCCGTGTCTGGGCTTAATTCAAAGCACTGTCTATTACCTATAAAACCCTATATGGTTTGGGTTCCGGCTAGTTGAAGGACCATTTTCTCGGCATTTTCTCGGCTCTTAAGAATTCTTGGAGGAGTTTTTCCTCTCCTCTGAGATTCTGAGTTGGCCACTTTGCCAACTCAGGAATGTTTAATGGAGACACGAGAAAGGGCCTTCTTGGTTAGGCTGTGGAATGCTCTCCCTCGAAAGGTTAGGTTGGCCTCCCCTCTTTTATCTTCCCAGTGACAGGCAGGCTTTGAATAACTGTTTGATTGATTTATATACCACTCATCTAGCCAATAGTTACTCTGGGCGATTTATGACAATGGCAAGACATAAAACAACCTAACCAAGCACATTAATTAAACCAACTGTTAATAACCGAAACTGAATTATAGTCTTTGGCTTTTCAAAGTTTCATTTCATAGTCTCAAACGTTTCTGGATTACTTAATGGGTTTTTAAGGAGTAGCGTGGTTCAGCGGCATTGCAATCAGTAATTTACTGTGTATTTAGTTTTGTCTGTTCTAATGTTGTGAGCCGCCTTGGGTCCCTTCACCAGGAGAAAGGCGGCTTACAAGGAATAAAAGTCAATGAAGAAATGATGACAAGGAAGTTATGGAATGATGGGGCCATTGTCTGAGTTCAGTGAGGATTGGGGCAGGGGGGGGTCAAACCAAAGGCGACTCAGTCCAGACCAGATGGAGGTCCTGCTGGTCAGCAGAGAAAACTGATCTGGAGTGAGAGGCCTTCGGCTTGTTCAGGGTGAAGATACACTTCCCTTCAAGAACCTGAGCCCTAGTCTGCTTATTGCATGTCATGATTAACTCTTGCTTGTCGTTTTCCACCTCAGGTGAGTGTGAAGGCTTAGTTAAAGCCCGATCGCATGGAGAGAAGCCAGTGATCACGCGTCCCCCAGTGAGACCCCCAGACCCTCCCTGCAAGGTCCCCACCCCGCAGAAGACGGAGCCAAAGCCAGACCTCATCATGGGGGGAACCGATGAGGTCTCTTCTTCCGTGTAAGTGGTGGGGCGGATCCTGATCGGGTGGGAGGTCACTCTGAGCACCTGTGGGGAGCCCCAGAGGGGCTGGCTGTGGCTTAGATTAAGAGCCTAGAGTTTGAACCAGACTCCTTTCCTGATAAAATGGAGAAGGAAAAGGAAAGCCACCTTGGCCATCAGACCAATCCATTGTGTGGTGGCCCCTTTTGATCAGGTCCAGTAGTAAGACACAAAATTCTCCATGCAAGCTTGAGAGAGTGAGAGAGAGAGCTTTCCACTGGACATGATCTTTTTTTTAATCTTCTGTCCAAAAAATATCTCAAAAACAATGCTGGTGAATGTTGTGCCTTTTTAGTTGGCTTCACCCATATCTCAGTTCTGCATATTTTTTAGGATAATGTGACAGGGAAGCAGTGCTTGAACGGAGAGGTCTGTCTGAACAAGACGTTGTAAATGAACCTCGCTCGTACGACCCCCTGGCCTATTTCCAGCGTTCCTTTGGCTAACGTGCGATTCCACCCATCTGCCAGGCGACCTTGTCTCTCCTTTAGCCAGTGGCCCTTTCTCGTTTTGCTCTTTTTCGTGGTGTCTTAGTGGCCCTGAAACTTCCCAGCCTTTTGGTGCGTGGGTGGTGAAATCCTTCTTCTTTTCCATTTCTCTGCCTGGACTGTCCCCCCCCCCCTTCCACTGTCCACCCGCTGATGCAGAAGCCCTGGCCTGATTTTGGATGGCTTCCATTCTGACGAGGGTGATTTATGGGGTTCCCTCCTTTGCCCGCTGCAGATCTTGCCCCTTCACCTGTCTTTTCTGACCGAGAGTCTTTCTCCCAAAGGGCTGCTTCTTTATGGCCTGAAACGTTAACCGCCTGCACTGCTTACTTTTGCAGAGTGGCCTCCAGGACAAAGTTCTTTGAGACGGCTTCTTTCCGGAGAGGGAGGTAAGGAGAGGGCCCTGTGGAGGGGATTGAAGCGGCAGACCTGCCCTCCTCTAGCGGGCAGGATTCAAGACCAGGGACCCGATGCGAGTGCCCTTTCTCAAATGTTTGTAATTTCTTTTGCTTCCTTCCTTTTTTAACATGCTTTGCAGCTCTTCGGCACCGCAAGGCAGATCCCCGGGAGATGAAGGCTGAGGAGCTAGAGGTTGGTTTTGGTTTTGCAGAGAGACCGTGACTACTGGGGGGGAGGGTATTTTTTTGGGGGGGGGCTGGGAATGCCAGCACAGGACGTCTCCTTACCTGTAGGGTGAGGTGGGGTCATTCCCGCAAGCCTGATTTGGGGTGACGTTTCGGAATCCCCCTCTGCTCTCATCTTGACGCGACTGGTGTTCTTCTTCCCCAGGCTTCTCCGTGGCTGCCCCGGCTGGTTCCCGCAGTCTCTTTTGCTCCCCAGTGTTATGTGGCCTGCTGTACAGATCTGCTCGTGTCCCGGATCCTGCCTTCTGAGCAGACCTCTGTGAATAGCTTCTGCTGCAGCCAGAATAGGCGCTATACCTGTGGCGAGCGCGTTTCCATCTTGCCATTAAGC